GTTTCAGAAAGGCTGACTTTGTCTGACTGCAGCTGCTGTGTGTGCCTCAACGGTTGAAAATGGTTTCTCCTCTTTCCCCTGTGTCTGTACTTATGGCCCTGTCATTCCTGATGTTGTCTGTATTTCTGTCTCTTCTTCGTGGTCATGCTCACCAAAGTGCTGTGTTCTTAGCCATGCCAAAGAACCAACTCGAGTTTTAGTGATCAACTATCCTGGTGCTGTTGTTTTTTCATTTCTTTCTTTTTCTTTTTTTTTTTTGAGTCAGGGTCTCTCGCTCTGTTGCCCAGGCTGGAGTTCAGTGCTATGATCATGGCTCATTGCAGCCTCGACCTCCTGGGCTCAGGTGATCCTTCCTCCTCAGCCTCCTGAGTAGCTGGGACTACAGGCGCACTCCACCACACCCAGCTAATTTTTCTTTTCTTTTTTTTGTAGAAATGAGGTCTTGCTATGTTGCCCAGGCTAGTCTTAAACTCCTGGGTTTGAGCCATTCACCCACTTCGTCCTCCTAACATGCTGGGGTTACAGGCATAAGCCAACATGCCCAGTCTGTTTTTTTTTTTTGAGTTAGAGTCTCACTCTCACCCAGACGAGTGCAGTGGCCACTCCTGGCCACTGTAGCCTCCATCTGCTGGGCTCCGGTGATCCTTCCACCTCAGCCTTCCAAGTAGCTGGAACTACAGGCACGTGCTACCATGCCCGGCTAATTTTTTGATTTATTGTAGAGATGAGGTCTCGCCAAGTTGCCCAGGCGGGTCTTGAACCTGCGGGCTCAGGCAATCCGCTCACCTCAGCCTCCCAAAAGCATGGGATTACAGGCTGAGCCACCGAGCCCGGCCCAGTCTGTTTTTCATTTTATTAACATCTGCTTTTATATTAATTAATTCCACTTTCTCCTTGGGCTCATTTTGTTGTAATTGTCCTAACTTCTTCATTTGAAGGTTTAAACTATTTATTTCAGGTTCTTTTGGGTTTCTGATAAAACGTTGTGATTTTCACCTGATTACCTCATTGACCACATCCCATAGTTTTTGTTATTTGGGCTTCTTACCCCCATTCAGTTATTTTTACTTTGATTCTCAATTATTTTTATCTTCAGTTATTTGCAATTATTTTTATTTTTTTTATTACTTTTGTTTTCATTCAATAGGTGGTTATTTCCATTTTGCTCCTTCTTTATGCCAAGTAATTTAGATGTGCATTTTAAATTTCTCCGTGTATAGTTGGGGTGTGTGGGTTGTCGATGCTGTTGTTTTGCAGGTTTTTACCTCTCTGGGTGGAAAATGCATGGCTAGAAAAAGCTTGCTTGCAGTGTCAGGGACAAACAGACTCAGCCTTGCTGTCGGGCAAGTCTTCTTTGCCCCAGGCCTATAGCAGAGAGTGAAGTGAAGTCAGCTCCTTTATCCTCTGTCCTTTGAGCACAGCAGTTGCTGGGACGCGTTTTGGGGGAAGCAGGGACCACACGAAGCTTGCATTTTCTTCTCCCAGCCTGGCAATGGGCAGGAGGACCAGAGGATGAAGGGAATCGTGAGACCTCGGGCACAAGTTGCCTTTCTCCACCAAACTCTTCCAGGAGCCTAAGGCTGCACGGAGCAAGTGGTGGTGCTGAGGCTGGAACTCGGGGCCTTTTCCGTCTAAGGCCTCATTGTGTTCCACTGTGCTAAGCTGCCAACACAGCAAGTCATGTAACAACTTGTAGTAACAGTGTCCGTTGTTTCATTTCATTATCCTCAGAATGGGGATATTATTGTCCCCATTTTACACAGGAGCAAACTGAGTCTGACAGACCAAACGTCGCTTGATTCAAGGGCAGCTGAGAGGGGCAGAGAATGAGATGAGGCATGCACAAACACACGACAGAGAACCTGAGGAATATTCTTTTTTTTTTTTTTTCGCTCCCGGCCACCACAGCCTTGACCCGCTGGGGCTCCGGCGATCCTTCCGCCTCAGCCTTCCGAGTAGCCAGAATTACAGGCGCGTGCTACCATGCCCAGCTGATTTTTTATTTATTGTAGAGATGAGGTCTCGCCGCCCAGGCGGGTCTCGAACCCGTGGGCTCAGGCAATCCACTCACCTCAGCCTCCCAAAGGTGCGGGATTGCAGGCTGAGCCACCGAGCCCAGCGTCTGAGGAATATTCTTAACAACAGAGCCCTCAGAGAACTGGAATCATCGGGGCTGAGAGGAAAAGGCAGCAAATGACAAGAAAACAAATCCACCAAGACAAAGCAAACCCTCTCACATTCAGCCAAGAACTTTCTCACTTCTCCATTAGTTTGTTTATCCATAAAATGGGAGAATGGAAGCACCTACGTTTTGGACTTAGGAAGGATTTTACAGAAATATTATTATTTCTGACCACCTCATTTATTATCCTTTTCATTTTTCATCTTTGGCTAATGATCCATTTAGATATAAATTAAATTAAGCCAGGACTAAAAGCCCCACAATTTAAGATGCAGGCATCAGAATCGTTGTGCAGCTCAGTGTTTCCTAAGTGATGAGGTGGCTGGGTCATGGCAGGCTCTCCTGGTTTCCATTGACTGACCAGTGTGCCCACTTATCATCCCCTCAGAAGTCTCTGTTCCACCTTAAAGCAAAAAAATGTTTGAATAGTTACCTTACTTATTTGTATTTTTTAAAAAATATATGTTGAAACAGATCATTTATCCACATTTCTTGAACTCTTGAGAAGAGATTGATCTGGTAACATTTCTTCATTTTATGGATGGGCAGAGAAAGACTCATATTTCAGTCATCTATTATGTAACAAAACACCCCAAAACATAGTGGCTTCTAATGGTAACCATTTTATTGCACACAGTAGTCCTCTGTGTTGAATGGACTCAGCTGGGTGGCTCTTCTGCTGTTACCCTTTCAGGTAACAGATGGCAGCTGCAGCTGGAGTCATTTGGAGGCCCGCAAAGGATGCTGGAATGGCTGGGCTCTCATCGTCTTTGTTTTTTGTTTTTGTTTTTTTTTTGAGTTGGAGTCTCACTCTGTCACCCAGACTGGAGTGCAGTGGCCACTTCCAGCCACCGCAGCCTCGACCTGCTGGGCTCCAGCGATCCTTCCGCCTCAGCCTTCTGAGTAACTGGAACTACAGGCGCGCACTACCATGCCCGGCTAATTTTTGATTTATTGTAGAGATGAGGTCTCACCAAGTTGCCCAGGTGGGTCTTGAACTCACGGGCTCAGGCAATCCACTCACCTCGGCCTCCCAAAGCGCTGGGATTATAGGCTGAGCCACTGAGCCCAGCCCAGTCGTCTTTGTTCTTAAGGCTCTCCCCACATGGTTTCTCCATTTGGCTTGTGAATGAGACTTTTTACAGCGTGGCTTACGGCTTCCAACAAACACAAAAATTGGAATTGCTCAAGACTTAGGCTCAATACTGGCGTAGTGTCACTTCAGCCATATACTGGTGGTTCAAACTAGTCACAGAGCGACCCAGATTCAGTGTGAGAGGAGACCACATACGGGTACAAACACCAGGAGGCATGAGTCTTTGGGAGCCATCTTTTGAGACTAGCTCGCCCGGCCCAGGAAGGGAAAGAGACTGGTCCAGGGTCGCCCAAGTTAGTTGCCAAAACATAACAGAATCTTATCGTCGCAATATCTAAGCACTGCCCTTTCCTCACTACCATGTGCATAGCCATGACTGGAGAGCCTTGCAAGTTCCTCAACCAACAAAAAAATTCAGGTTCCTTTCCCACCCAGAGTAAGCAAGCATGCATCCCAAGAGTTCCCTCAGTCAGGATGGAGAGGTTACAGGTTCATTCCATGAATCTGGAATCTCTGTAGCTGAGTAGTTTAATGGGGAGCTTTTAAATCATAATTTACATAAACCAACACCACTTGGCAGAAGGGCAAAGAGTATTTGTTGGCTTATGTACCTGGAGAGTCCAGTGAGCCACACAAACATCAGGTGCTGCTGGATCTGGAGGCCTCACGCGTTTCTTAGTATTAGCTCTCGCTCTGTTTTCGTCTGTGTTGGTTTCATTCTCATAAAGGCCTTATGCACAGCATCGTCAGTGGCCACTTTGTTTCTGTAACATGAGACTCTCAAACTTAGAGTCCTCCCCACCCCACCCCCCGCGTTATCCACATAGCAATTCCTTGGAAGACCCAGACTGTGTCACTTGCCCATTCCTAAATGTGAGTGGAGGGGACATGCCACAGGCCGCCCCACCAGCGGGGAAAGGACTCTTCTAAAGGAAAAGATTAGTAGACAGAAAAAGTAGCACACATTCAGTATACCCAGAGCCCTCTATTCCTTGAAGATTTGTTTCCATATGGAAGTATTTGAACACTGGAGCCTGTGGCTGCATCCTGAGATGTGTTTTGTCTGACTCAAACAGCACTTTAATATATTCTTGGAACAGCGTTTAAAAATAAGAAGATAGTTTCTAGAAATTTGGATTTATGGCTTCTGTTTTTTTGTTTTTTTTAAAAAAAACACAAAATCAGATCGGGCAGCTCTTGCCTATTCTGGTTTCCCATGTTCTTATCTGTCAAGTGGAGATACTCATAATACCCACCTCATAAGGTTGTTCCGAGGCAAGCAGGTCTGTGGAAACCTAGCCCCCAAAACTGAGGATCCTGAGAAGCCAAAGAAAGAGGCAACACATTCCGTTTCTATGAAGGAAACACTTAATACACACAAACAGAAGCAATGTTTCAATCCTCTAGAACATATTCCTTTTTCACTTTTTTTTTGTAGAGATGGAGCCTTACTGTGTTGCCCAGCCTGGTCTCAAACTCCTGGCCTCAAGCAATCTTCCCACCTCCGCCTCCCAAAGTGCTAGGATTACAGAAATGAGCCACTGCACTCAGCCTAGAAAGTACTCTTTTTGTAGTAAGCTTTAGGATAAAACGTGTAACTGGTCATGTTTTCAGACTTTTTTTTTTTCTTTCTGAAATGTAAGTATACACATTTTAATTTAACAATAAATTTATATTTTAAAAACAGGACATGTATACGTAAGACTACACAGCATAGCTAACATGGACCAAGTCCACACCGGTAAGCTTTTAAGAACCATTTAGACTCATAACCACTGGGGAGGTTGGATAAGCATCTTTATGAGGGGTTATCTACATGACGGGTATTGTTTAAAGACCTTACTGCAGAATGCTCCGATATGTGGGAGTCGAACACCAGTCATTATGGCGGTTTGGCTTCAAGATGGCATCACTTTTGCCATGCAACAAGCTGTTTTCCTACAGTGTTTGTGAGGATTACATGAAAATATGCATTTAAAGGCCTTACGTTATGCCTGGCACAGACGGAGCATTCATGAAATGGCAGTTACCCTTCTCATAATTTGCCAGAGATAGCTGGAGCTGCATTGTGACTTTAGATGAGACATGAGCTCTCCCATTTGCCACAGTCCCCACCATTCCCTGTTGTCTTACGGGCTGCCCATTGTGCTCATTTCTGATAGCTGGTGGCTCCCTGTTGTGTACCATTTCCTCTTCAGTCTGTCACCACCCAGTCTCATCTGGACCCTTGTACTAGCCTTCTAACCTGGGTTCTCTCTTGGGCTATGACTTCACTGCTAGAAATAGAAACTGAAAATAGCATAGTTTCACTAAGTTAGAAATTGTTGGAATTTTTTTTCTTGTCACATAAAAGTGTCTGGAGATTGACAATCCATTGTTGATATAGCAGACTTACTGTCACTCGGGGACCCACCCTCCTCCTATACTTCTGTTCCATTCGTGTGTGGCTTGCAACCTTGTGGTCAGTCACCCCCCACTATGTTCCAATATGGCTACTGGAGCTCCAACCATCACATTGGCATTCAGACAAGAAGTAAGGGAGCAAGAAGGAAGAGCAAAAAAGATACTAGCCAGCTGTCTGCCTCTACATCCTCTTCTTGGAGAGCTTTTCTCAAAGTCCCACTGAAAAATTCCTTCTTCTGTCTTATTAGCCACCTGTAGCTGCAAGAAAGCTGGGAAATACAGTCTTTTGTTTTGTTTTGTTTTTGAGTTGGGGTCTCACTCTGTTGCCCAGGCTGGAGTGTAGTGGCACAATCACAGCTCACTATCACCTCAGCTTGCTGGGCTCAGGCAATCCTTCTGCTTCACCTCCTGAGTAGCTGAGATTACAGACACACACCATCACGCCGGCTAATTTTTTTTTAATTTTTTGTAGAGACAAGGTCTCACTATGTTGCCCAGGCTGGTCTCAAACTCCTGGGCTCAAACAGCCCTCCTGCCTCAGCCTCCCAAAGCATTGGGATTACAAACATGAGCCACCACGCCCAGCCTGGACATGCAGGTTTTTAGCTGAATATAGTCCTGATACCAAAGAAGAAGGGGGGAATGGACATTGGGTTCCACATCCACCTCACTTAGCATCTTACAACTGCAAGAGCAATCTCTCCAAAAATCACCTCTTTTTTTCCTCTTGGGACTCAGAAGGAAAAAAAAGAGACATTAAAAATAGATCACTTGACTCCCAGCTGAAACCATGGAAGGCTTCCGTCCACTGAGAATGAAACGCATCATGGTCCGCTGACCTGGAAAGCCCCACACAGTCTGGCCCCGCCCACCTCTCCTGCCCCCCTCTCCATCTCCCATCCAGCTTACCCGCTGGGCGCCAGCCTCTCTGCCTTCTTGCTGATTAGCACCGTGATTAAAAGCCCTCACTCTAGCCACATGAGCTCTGCCCCTTACTTGCTGTGTGACCGTGAGATAGTTTCTTAACTTATCTGTACCTTGGAGGATGATGCTAATAAATGTTATAGGGTTGTTGTAAGAATTAAATGAGAAAATACATCATAAAGCTCTTAAAACAGGTTCTGGCATTCAGTAAGCACCATGTAAGTACTAGCTATTAATAAACAGAGTTGTTGTTCATACATACCAATAACTGTCCTGCCTCAGGGCCTTGGTATTAGGAGTTCCTTTTGCCTAGAATGTTACTCTCCAAGATTTTCCCATGATTCTCACCTTCACTTTATCCAGATTCTCTGTTCAGACTTTTCCTCTTCTGAGAGGCCTTAAAATAGTACTTCGCCATCACTCCCCATTCCCTTTCCCTGCTTTATTTTTTATTTTATTTTATTTTATTTTTGAGTTGGAGTCTCACTCGGTCGCCCAGACTGGAGTGCAGTGGCCACTCCCGGCCACCTCAGCCTCGACCTACTGGGCTCCAGCAATCCTTCCGCCTCAGCCTTCCAAGTAGCCGGAATTACAGGCATGCGCTACCACGCCCGGCTGGTTTTTTGATTTATTGTAGAGATGAGGTCTCGCTGCCCAGGCGGGTCTCGAACCCACGGGCTCAGGCAATCCACTCACCTCAGCCTCCCAAAGGCGCGGGATTGCAGGCTGAGCCACCGAGCCTGGCTTCCTGCCTTATTTTTTATGACACCTTTCACCACTAGAAATCCTAAACTTATTTGTCATCTTCCTATTTCTACTAGCATGCCAAGTCCTTGTAAATTGTATTTCCACTCCAAGAACACTGCCTGGCACATTGTAGGTGCTGGATAAATACATTGGGATGGATGGATGGATGGATGGATGGATGGATGGATGGATGGATGGAAGGAAGGAAGGAAGGAAGGAAGGAATACAGAGATGGGTGGATGAATAAAGGGATGGAATACAGAGATGGGTGGATGAGTGGACGGATTTGTGGATAGATGGATCCATCAATTGATGGATGGTTGGGTGAATTAAGTAGATAAATGGATGTATAGATGGATGACTATTTGGATGGATGGAGCACATGGCTGGATGAATGGGTAGATGGATGGTTGAATGGGTGGTTGAGTAGAAGGATGGATGGGTAGTTAGATACAGTAAATGGATGATTGAATAAATGGAGTAGATGGGTGGATGGGTGGATGAATGGAGTAGATGGATGGAAGGGTAGGTGATGGTTGAATGGATGGTTGAATAGATGAGCAGAGGCGTAGATGTATCTGTAGGTGGATGGTTTGGTGGTTGAATAGATGAGTAGATGAATAGATAGGTCGATTATGGCTGAATGGATGATTGAGCAGATGGGAGGATGCATGGAGTAGATGGAAGGTAGATGATGGTTGAGTGGATGGTTGAATAGATGAGTAGATGGCTAGCTGGATGGGTTGACAGACAGAGGAGAGATTAAGTGGACAGATGCTGAGCTCTGCCCTTTTGTTTTTCAGGCCGCCCCCTACCTGTCCTGCTCCTGTGTGCCTCTGTGTCTTTGCTGGGTGGCCTGACCTTTGGTTATGAACTGGCAGTCATATCAGGTGCTCTGCTGCTGCTGCAGCTTGACTTCGGACTAAGCTGCCTGGAGCAGGAGCTCCTGGTGGGCAGCCTGCTTCTGGGAGCCCTCCTCGCCTCCCTGGTTGGGGGCTTCCTCATCGACCGCTACGGCAGGAAACAGGCCATCCTCGGGAGCAACCTGGTGCTGCTGGCGGGCAGCCTGAGCCTGGGCTTGGCCGGCTCCCTGGCCTGGCTGATCCTGGGCCGCTGGGCAGTGGGCTTTGCCATCTCCCTGTCCTCCATGGCCTGCTGCATCTGCGTGTCAGAGCTGGTGGGGCCCCGGCAGCGGGGTGTGCTGGTGTCCCTCTACGAGGTGGGCATCACTGTGGGCATCCTGCTCTCCTATGCCCTCAACTACGCGCTGGCCGGTGCCCTCCAGGGATGGAGACACATGTTTGGCTGGGCCGCCGCACCTGCTCTCCTGCAGTCCCTCAGCCTCCTTTTCCTCCCTCCACGGGCAGAGGAGACTGCGGCACAGAAGGACCTCATCCCACTCCAGGGAGGTGAGGCCCCCAAGCTGGGCCTGGGGAGGCCGCGGTACTCCTTTCTGGACCTCTTCAGGGCACGGGATAACATGCGAGGCCGGACCGTGGTGGGACTGGGGCTGGTGCTGTTGCAGCAGCTGACAGGGCAGCCCAACGTGCTGTGCTACGCCTCCACCATCTTCCACTCGGTTGGCTTCCGCGGGGGCTCCTCGGCGGTGCTGGCCTCCGTGGGGCTTGGCGCGGTGAAGGTGGCAGCCACCCTGACCGCCATGGGGCTGGTGGACCGCGCGGGCCGCAGGGCCCTGCTGCTGGCTGGCTGTGGCCTCATGGCCCTGTCGGTCAGTGGCATAGGCCTGGTCAGCTTTGTCGTGCCCATGGACTCGGGCCCAAGCTGCCTAGCCGTGCCCAATGCCACGGGGCAGACAGGCCTCCCTGGAAGCTCTGGCCTGCCAAGGGGCTCATCTCCACCTCCAGGGCCGAGAACCCATGAGCACCAGAGGGAGCCAGTCTTGCCAGCTGCTAAGAAAACCAAGCCGCATCCCAGAACTGCAGCACCCACAGCCCCTACCCTGCCAGCCCTGAGCCCTCCCTTTCCGGCACCTCCCAGCCCTGGCCCTGAGCACACACTGCTACGCTGGACTGCGCTTGTCTGCCTGATGGTCTTTGTGAGTGCCTTCTCCTTTGGATTTGGACCAGGTAAGCGGAGTTTTCTCACAGGCTACTCTGGAAACTTCTGCCCCTCTTAGTGGAAAGTTTGGGGGTGTATCCAGCAGTGTCTCAGAGGGGCACTGGAGGTGAAGTGACCATGAACTTCACGGCTCCTCACTTTCTTCTTGCAGGTGATGCTTCCAGGGCTAGGTCCTAATTTTATGTTTATAATTTTATTCTTAAAAAGAATTGTTAGCTTCGGGCCTTGTGAAACCTGGATCTGTCCCAGGATAACTCAGTCACAGGGGTCTACATGAGAGGAATTTTTTTTTTTTGAGTTGTAGTCTCACTCTGTTGCCCAGACTGGAGTGCAGTGGCCGCTCCCGGCCACTGCAGCCTCGACCTGCTGGGCTCCGGCGATCCTTCCGCCTCAGCCTTCCAAGGAACTGGAACTACAGGCGCACGCTACCACGCCTGGCTAATTTTTGATTGATTTATTGTAGAGATGAGATCTCACCAAGTTGCCCAGGCAGGTCTCGAACCCACAGGCTCAGACAATCCACTCACCTCAGCCTCCTAAAACGCGGGATTACAGGCTGAGCCACCGAACCCGGCTAGGAAAGGAATTTAATGATAGAGTGAAACACACTCACCCCAGATTGCCTGGGACAGGACTTCCGGGTCTCAGCACAGTCTCATGTCCCAGGAAATCCCCCAGTCTTGAGTATGCCCAGACCCTTCAGGGATCCTTTTTTTTTCTTCTTCTGAGTTAGGGTCCCTGTCATCCAGGCTGGAGTACAGTTGAACCATCACAGCGCCCCCCAGCCTTGACCTCCTGGACTTAAGCAATCCTCCAGCTTCCGCCTCCTGAGTAGCTGAGATTACAGGCATGCACCACCACACCTGGCTGATTTTTTTGTAGAGATGAGGTCTCGCTATGTTGCCCAGGCTCCTACAAGGATCCTTACAGTGGGGTGGGGGACATGGTTGGAGAATTTGGTGGCTGGAGCCTGACACGCTGCATAAGTCCCATTGTCAGGAGCTGCCTCCTCGACCCAGCGGCCCCAGGTCCCAAGGCTGCCTCAGCCCAGGGGCCCTCCTGCTCTCTCTCCTAGTGACCTGGCTCGTCCTAAGCGAGATCTACCCCACGGAGGTCCGAGGGAGGGCCTTCGCCTTCTGCAGCAGCTTCAACTGGGCAGCCAACCTCTTCATCAGCCTCTCCTTCCTCGATCTCATCAGTAAGTCCCCCCAGACACGTTTATCCTCTTTTTTGTGGCCCACCTGCCCAACTTGGAAGCCACGGGTTTTTTGAATTTCCCCCATGTGTAGCAGCCGAACGGTTATTCTGTGCAGAAACCCCATAGAAGTACCCAAGATGACACCCAGAACCCTGACACGCTGTAAAATTCCCCAGCCAGCTCGGGGCCTGTGGTCTGTACTCAGCACTGAGGCTTGGGTGACATCCTCTCTTCCTCCCCAGCATCCAAACCCAGTCTGCGGGATGGTGGGATGGGGCGGAAATTACACAAGCCCAGAACCCCGGGGAGAGGCCCCCCGAGGTACAGAGATGCTGGTGGCCAGGGCCCCTGGTCTTCCAGAGGCCTTACTCATCTGGGTCCAGAGGGACAGGGCTCCTCACTACGGGCCCCAAGGCAATGTCTGTAGGGTTCTGACACCTCCTGTTCCCTGTAACCCAGAGGTTCCTCCATAAAGGCACAACCAACTAAGGGGGGCTGTGGGGAATGCTGGTAGGAAGTCCCCCAGCCAGGGCTGTTTCCAGTCTTAGGGAATCCACGCACAGGGAATTCTTTGCTGCCTGTGGAATGAATGAGTGAGTGAGAGAGGGGAACGGGGGAGAGGACGAAGAAACGAGTTGATTAGAATTGTGTCATATCGTTATCATCCCATTTCAGAGATGGGAAAAATACATTCTTCCCAAGTCCAGCCAGGTAGTCAGAAGACCAGAACAAGCCCTCTTGACTCCCAGCCCAGTGCTCCCCCTGCTGGGGACTAGGTCTCTCTGGTCAGGGGAGGCTGCCTGGAGGAGGTGTGGCCATGGCTGTTAGAGGTGAGAATGGCATCCACAACATAGTTTGTGCTTCAGTCTCAACAAAGACCCTTCCTCCAAAGCCTCTTTCTTTTCTATCTTGGGCTGACTGACTTCAGAGGACTCGGGGTCAGCTCCCTCCTGGCTGTTGGCCCTGAGACCCTGGCCCTCACCTGCGGCTCCAGGATGAGGGAGGGGCTGGGGTGCTGAGTCCCCCCACCCCACCCCACCTGGGACTGAACTGTGACTTCTGTCCTCTTGCCCAAGTCAGGAAGGCACAGGCTACACTGGCGGAAACTCAACTCCCTGAACGATCAGTTCCCTCAATGACCAATTCAAGGGATTTCTGAGGATACTTTGAAGCAGCGTTGCCCGGGCTGTGTCCGTGCAGCTATTTGGCAGCCGCATAGGGCGCCATCTCCCCCAGGTCAGGCCTTCCAGTTCCCAGTGTACTCCCTTGGATAGCATTTTAGGTGTGGGTGAGAGGCCTTTCCTGTAAATACAAGTTGTCATTGTCTCTGCATGTGTGGACTAGTGCCTGGCTCTTTCCCTGCCTTTGGGACAACCAGTGAGAGTCCCGCTTTAACGTACTTATCTGACAGCTCATTGGTCGTTCAGCAAATCCACCCTCTGGAACATTCGCTTTGAGTGAACCAGTGATCAATGCTCGACCTAGAACCCACCAGTCAGCCCAGGCTGCGGAGCCAGAGGGCTTGGCTCCTGGACCCACACTCCCGCCCTCCTGTTCCCAGGAGCCGTTGGCTTGTCCTGGACCTTCCTGCTCTACGGACTGACTGCTGTCCTTGGCCTGGGCTTCATCTGTGTATTCGTTCCTGAAACAAAAGGCCAATCGTTGGCAGAGATAGACCAACAGTTCCAGAAGAGACGGTATGAGGCAGACAGGGCAGTTGCCGGGGAAGAGCCAGCTCAAACCCCGCACATGTCGCTTCAGGATTCTGGTCTTCCCTTTAAGAGAATGTCTTCCTCTCATCCTCTGTCTGCCTGGGCTGAGTCTTGTCCTGTCGCTGTACACGAGCTGTTTTTCTTGAGTTGTTTTGTGTCTTCCTACAGCAGCTTTTCATTAGACTTTAAGACCCAGCTCACAGGGGTTTAAAAACCACTTAATTATGAAATCACAGGAGGTTGGAATAGTGGGGTCTCAGAACCACAGACTCTTAGCATCATGGAGTCATGGGAAAACAAAACATGATAACTGTGGCCTTTAAGAATTGCACATAAGCCAGGTGTAGGGGCTCACACCTGCAATCCCAGCAATTTGGGAGACTGACGTGGGAGGATCACTTGAGGCCAGGAGTTCAAGAACAGCCTGGGCAACAGAGCAAGTCTATCTGAAAAACAAAAAAAGTACATAGAACACTTGTGGGCTTAATGCATTTATTCAGTGGATATTTGTTAAGCCTTACGACATGCTAGGCAGTGTTTAGGGCCTTGGGAACACGTGACTGAGATTCAGAATGACACAGTCCTTGTCCTCAGGAAGCTTCCATCTGAGGGGAGAGGGTGGCAGGAAATTACTCAGCCAACAAATGCATACACAAGACCGTTTTTGTTGGTGATGTGTAATTAGAAGAAAATGAAACCAAGCAAGATATGTTGAGCAGGCCAGGTGGGCAGAGAAGGGGCAGAGGAGAAAGCAGTTGTGGTTGAAATAGAGTGGGTGGTGAGAGGGAAGCCCTCCCGAGGAGATGCAACTTAAATTAGTGAGGAAGAGGAGGAGGCAGCCATGTAATGATGAGGGAAGGAACCTTCCAGGGAGAGGGAGCAGCATGTGCAAAGGTCGTGAGGTGGGAGCATATCTGGCATATGCAGGGAACAATGAGGGAGCCGGTGTGACTTGAACTGAGTGGCAGGCAGGGGAAGAGAATCAGATCCGCCCAATGGGTGGGAGCGCGGTCACCTCAGGTCTTCAGGCCATTGCAGGAGTTCAGACTCTCAGCATCATGGTACCTCAGGTTGTCCCGGTAAAAGAAGTCTGGAACAAGCCGGGCTCGGTGGCTCAGCCTGTAATCCCATGCTTTGGGAGGCTGAGGTGAGTGGGTTGCCTGAGCCTGTAGGTTCAAGACCCACCTGGGCAGCTTGGCGAGACCTCATCTCTACAATAAATATAAAAATGAGCCGGGCGTGGTAGTACGCGCCTGTAGTTCCAGCTACTAGGAAGGCTGAGGCGGGAGGATCGCCGGAACCCAGCGGGTCGAGGCTGCGGTGGCCGGGAGTGGCCACTGCACTCCAGTCTCGGTGACAGAGTGGGACTCCAACTCAAAAAAAAAAAAAGGCTGGAACAGGAGCTTCGGTAGGGACCCCAAGGGCTGCCCTCCCAAGCTTCCTTGGCAAGCGTTCCCAGATACCCTTGTGGTAAAGGGGTAGGCACCAGCTCCTGATGGCCCAATCTATTTCTGGGAGGCCCTAAAATATTGTTACAAGTCATTCTAATATTGAGTTGGACGGAGCCTCCCTGCAGCTGCTTGCCAAACCCTACCCCGCTAAAGCCATGCAGGACTACTCTGATGCACAAGTCTCTGGTCCACCTCACCCTAGAGTGTCTCCTCCAGCTGCACACTCCCAGTTTGTTGGATGATGCCTTCTGCAGATCCCTCACACCCAGCTGTATGAGTAGGTGACAGATTTGGCAGTGTGGAATAGTCTGAATGTAGGAGGATGCAGGGGGTCCAGGGTTGGGTGGCAGCTGTGCCCCTCAAGGTCATGCAGGGCTCTGTCTGTCTTGCCGCTCTTCCATCTCTTCCATATTCCCGTTTCTACACGACCCAAGACGGTGCAACACCCCAATTCCTGCAAGAATCGGAGGAGGGGAGGAGGAAGACATGATTCTCAAGGTTACTTCCACCCACGTCTCTTTGGACAGAGCTTTACTACACATGCATGAGGGGAGGAGGAGAGGTGTGGTCTTTAATCTGGGCAGCCATGTTAAAAAATCGAGATTTCTGCTACTGGGCCGTGGCCTGGAATCTCTGGCATTCTGGTTTTCTTGGGAGAAGATTCCAGACCCATCCTCTGAGACAAGCAGCAAAAGAGATAGAGAGACAGGTGAAAGTCAACTTTGGCAGCTGGTTGGGGGGGGGTGTATCAGGCTGGACCTGAGGGCTCAGGGTCACACCGGGGAGCCCAGGCCAGCCCTTGGGGACAGGAGGCTGGGTCTGCCAGGAGCCTGGAGAAAACAGGAAGTCAGAGGCTTCAGTAGAGTCAGGAGGCAGGTCTGTGTTTCATTACCCCAGACCCTGTAGTTCAGGGGACTCCTGATATCAGGCCACAGAGAAAGAAACTTGACCTCAGGGAACACAGGTGGCTACAGGGATTTTGACAGCATAAAGTCTTTCAGCATCAACTGTGTTCACTCCACATAGAAATCATGGTCTCAGGAGAAAGTCTGATTGGTCAGACCTGGTTTGTGTGCCCGCCCCCAAATGCACAGCTCAGCCGGGATAGGACAGGACTCCTTGATGACGGTCCTAGCAAGCCCCTTGCAACAGAGGAGCCACAGTTCCCCCAGGAATGGGAGAAGTGATTCTGGCTAGAGCCATCATCCTGGATAAAGCCATCGTCCACTGCCATGTGCCTTACCCCTATTCACGGCCTCATCATCAGGGGTGCTTGCTGGAAACGGTACCTATATCTGACAGGTCCCGTGCCTCTACCTTCTTAGGAAGGCGTTAGCAACTCGAGGGGCTCAAACCCTTTTACAGTCAGTGGTCGTTGGTTGCCACGAGGTTGTTCTTTTTGGTTTCTTACCAGGCATGGGTTCAAAAGAGACCCCTCCCATCCCTTCAGGTGGCATCATCACAAAAAGAAGACCTTTCAAAAATTCCTGTTTTATCCCAATTCCTCAGGAATCCATTCATTCAACCATAAGCAGATATTTTCATCCCGTGACTTAGAAAGGTCCTGTGTCTAGAGAGGAGAAAGTTACATTTTAATGGAAGGAAGATGCGCTACAAAATATGTAAATGCACAAATAAGATCATTTAAGAATGGTATTTATACCATGAAGAAAACGAGGCAGGGGAACTTACCAGAGACTGAACAGTGGATCTGGGGAGTGATTCAGTATCTTTGGCTAGGCTACAAGTCATTATGGGTGCATTCGTGTCACAAGTGTATCATGAATTTTCCATGAGTGTAGTGATGCTTTTGCGTATTGGTTTCACTTATGCTCTGTTCCCAGGGCCCAGAATAGTGCCCAACACGCCACAGGCTATCATTAAATGTGTCTCTGTTGAACGGATGAAAGGATGCCCAAGGAAAGCCTGGATGAAGAGAGAAAGCCAACTGCTTCAGGAGCTGGAAGAAATGTCCTAGGAGGAAGGAACAGCAAGAGCAAAGCCCCTGGGGTGGAAACAAGTTAGGCGTCTTGAAGGGAGAAACAGGAGGCCAGTGTGGCCAGGGCATGATGGACAAATGGGATGTTGGAGAGGCCGGCTGTGGTGAGGGACTTGGATGTTAGACTGAACATGATAGGAGTCTCCTAAGCAGGACAATGACTGGATCTGTTCCATCCACTGTGACTGTAATGGGGACATGGACTGTCAGGAGCTGGGGTAGACCCAGGGAGATCAGGAGGGAGCAGCTAGGGAGTCCTGGTGAAAGAGAAGCTGGAAGTGCATACTGTGGCAGGAGGGGTCAGGGTGTGCAGGTGGGCTGGGGAGGGCCCCGTTCTGCTGCCGTCTCCCCAGGGAAGGCCCCAGTCCTTGCCACCCTCTGATCCCGCCTGTTCTCTGTTTGACAGGTTCGCCCTGAGCTTTGGCTACAGGCAGAACCCCGCTGGCATCCAGTACCGCCGCCTCGAAGTCTCCACGGCACCCTGAGGGGTCCGTCTGCTGGGACACTGGAACCATGGTTTTAGCAGACCACCTCAAGTGTCCTGTGTCCTAGGCCTGGGAGCACACATTCCAGGAGTTCTTCAGGAGCGACTCCTGCCCCAAAGGAAGGCTTTTTCCTGGGGCAGGAGGGACGAAAGTCTGAGAACCCTAAACTCTTCCATTTGAGTCTCAGGCTCTGCAGGTTCCTGAAGACCTATCTTCTTGGATCAGTTTCTCCTATTGGCTTTGCACATCTCTGTAGCATTTATGGTGAGAATATCTTCTGGAGTCTCTGTTGCACATGGACTTTCTCAAAGACTCTTTAGGGTACTAATCCCGGCAGGAAGTCTCTCCTGGTGTCACCTCGAAATCTGGCTGAGGTTATTGCATTTCCTACTCTGTTTTTTTCACCTGTCTGGGCTTTTTTTTTTTTTTTTGAGTTGG